TACACACCTCCCTCCACCGTTCGCCGTCCAGACCCAGTCCCTTCAGATCGGCCTTAATGCAATCTTCCCACCTTCGCTTCGGTCTACCCCTCGGACGCTTACCATTCGGCACAGCAAATATTAACCTTTTAGGAATTCTCTCGTTACTAAGCCCAACAACTTTACAAGCCCATTTGATTCGCCTCGATGAAATTACCTCAATTATATTATCCGGATACAGCTCATGCAATTCGGAGTTGTGTAACCGTCTGAACTCTCCGGTTAACTCATCCTTCTTCGGTCCGAATATTCTACGCAATACTTTATTTTCAAAAACCTTAAGACGCTGCTCATCCCTTAATGTAAGCGGCCAAGTTTCGCATCCATAAAGAACTGTAGGCAAGATAATTGTTTTATAAATTCTAATTTTTAAGTTTCGGGACAAGAGGCGCGAACTAAGTAGTTTTGTCACAGAAAAATAACAAGCATTCCCCGCCTTCAGTCTAACCTTAATCTCTTCTTCAATTTCGTTTTTTCTAGTTATCGTAGAACCTAGATACCTAAATTTATCTACCTGTTCAAACATATTACCCTCTATATCGATATCACCAGTAGTATCGCCATTTTTGCAGCTAACCATATATTTTGTTTTATCCACGTTTATTTCGAGTCCTAGTTCTTTCCCGGCTTTCATTAACGTTGTCGTATTTAGTTTTATAGTTTCAACGTCTTCGCTTAACAGTACCAGATCATCAGCATAGCCCAGCACGGATGTTGTCCCGCCCAGATCCAACCCTTTCTCGGTTCGCATTACCTCCCTAATGGCATGTTCTAATGCCAAATTGAACAGGACAGGCGAAAGAGAATCCCCCTGTTTTAAGCCCGAACGAACCTCAAATTTTTCGGACAAATTATTACCGATTCTAACTTTATTGAGTGTCTCCGTCAAGCACATCCTGACTAGATTTACTAGTTTTTTTGGAATCCCCTGCTCGATTAGAATATTATACAGTTTCTGGCGGTCAATAGAATCGTAAGCCTTTTTTAAAATCTATATACAGCTGGTGAACAATACCGTTGTACTCCAATTTTTTCTGTAATATTTGCCGTAAAGAAAATATTTGATCAATAGTTGAACGATTCCGTCTAAATCCGCATTGATAGTCTCCGATAATTTCCTCGGCGTATTCCGTGATTCGACTGGTTAAGATTGAAGTGAATATTTTATAACATACCGGAAGGAGTGAAATTCCTCGATAGTTATTACAATCCGTCCTCGGGCCCTTTTTGTGAATCGGAATAAGAATAGATTCTTTCCATTCTTCAGGTAATTTCTCGTTCACCCAGATCTTTTTAACCAACCGATGTATTTTAGAAACTCCAGCTTCCCCGCATGCCTTAATTAGTTCAGTAGGAATATTATCGATTCCCGTTGCTTTATATGATTTTAATTTTCCGATAGCTACTTCAACTTCCTCTTTAGTTGGTCCTTCTATTAACGGTTCAGCACTCTGGTACTCAGAAGGAGGACACAGGTCATAATTTCCCGTATTTAAAATATTGTCAAAGTGGTCCTTAAACTTATTCAATATGTCAACCGGATCGGTCAGAATATTGTTATTATCATCCCTAATTCCAGACGTTACGGGCCCTACATATTTACGTGATCTGTTTATACCTTTGTACATGTCTCTTACGTTATTTTCGATTCTATTAGTTTCTATTTCAATTATTTTATTTTTAAGATACTCCCTTTTTTTATTTTTGAGCAATTTTGTCGTTTCGTTCTTTGAGATTCGGAAGAGACAACAAAAAATATAATAAATAAATAATGGTATGAATGTGCATTTCAGGTCTAATACTCAGTACCCTTAAGTGTGGAAAAATGTATTATATATCAATAAAATATTTAATGGAGAAATAATAAATAAATTGTTTGACAGCTGTAAAAAATATACTTAAGAAAATATGTCTGCCAGTTAGGGTCAAATTAGCCTTTACAGCATTCCAACTAATCAGATATTTTTATATTTCAAGATCTAGGATTTATATTTTGAGAAAACTAAATCTATGTGAGGAGCCATTTTTGAAGTATAGTATTGTCGAGGAATAACGCATGCCTAAACGAAAAAAAAAAGAGGAGGAAATTTGATAAAAGCCTATATTTTATATCTTATTGCAAACTGTTTATTGCTTAATAAAAATCATGTGAATGAGAGCATTAGAATTCAAGTGATTACGAATGTATGTAAGATTGAGATAAAACTTTTCAAAAAATAAAAAAAAGGTTTATATTTTGCTAAAACCTTAAGCAGTGAGTCTGAGAGGTATGGTGGGGACAGGGAGAGTGGCGTTAGTCGACTGTACGTGACGTATATGATTGTCAAACACCATACTTTCGAAGTGCTTCTGAACTCTAATTTATAATAATTTATAAGCACACATCTCAAATGTACATTTTAAAATATATAATTTTATAATTGTGGATTGATGGCTAAGGTGATCAGTAAAAAAAAAAAAAAAAAATAAAAAAAAAATAAAAATAAAAATAAATAAATAAAAAATAATAATAATAATAATATTTATTTTATTTTAATAATAAAAATTATTTTATATAATTTTTATATAATGTTTTAATATAATTATATAATATTGAAAGAAAAAACGGATGGTATTTGTTGGGTGCAGGTTTTAAAACTGAAAACATTGTTCTAGAGTCGGGTATCCACTATGTTCGCGAACCAACTTGTATTTGTATGGGAACAGGGTTTGTGATCACAGGCGCTCTACAAATGCTCCGCAGTTTTCACGTGATCGTTGAAGAAATAACATGTCGTCCGAGCTAGTGGCAAGCTACATTTCCATCCGATGTTCGGTAAAAGATTATAGAAGACTTCAAAAAAACACATTTGTAAACATTTCGAATGAGGTGTAATATAAAACTTAGAAATGAATGTTTTTGTTACTATTGTACAAATCCTTTCTTATTCCTCTCCTTAGTTTTCATTTTCTCTTTTCGAAATCCACGTAAAAGAACAATCATCTTATTCTTTAAAACTTCAGCAGGTATGAGCATAGCACCTCTAATGACATCATGTGCATTTTCTTTCTTTTTTTCTCCACAATATTGGAACAGAACAGAAACAATTTTTTTTTTGTCCGCTCACTCCATTGCACAGGACAAGATGGTCGAGCACGTCGGGGCGTGTGTCCCAGATAGTCTAGTTAATAACCCAATGGGTTCGATTCCCACAGAGGTACGTCAATTTTCATTTCTTGCCGGCCCCAGGAAACGAATCTTGATACTCCCACTCTGGTAAGTAAGCGGCAGCTATGTCAAAACAGCCTTTATGATTTGACAAAAAGGACCAAGAGGCCCACTTACTAGACTAGTTCTCCCCACCAGTACTGGTACCAGTATCACTCAATTGCACAACGTTACACAAGAGACCAACGTTGGCTGAATTTTGACGAAACGTCCGTCCATAAACTTGCCCCGCTCTCCTTTGAGTTCGAACGAAAACAAACAGCCATCGGCACTCTGTAGAGTGTTCATGAACTGTTACAAGCTTGGAGCGCTAAAAAGTATCCACTTGTTACACGCTTGTAGCGGTAAGTTGGTTCGCGAACATTGTGAATACTTAAGCTAAAAAATATGACATAACCAACAGTATGAGCTAGATGATGCAGTAGCAGAGTCTCCACCTGATCTACCTTAAGCCGGTTTACATTGCTTTAGTTCGTCAAATAAATCGTACTCAAATATTTTCTTTGATCAATTTTCAGGAAAAATATCTGCTGTGTCCACTCACACGACTTTCCTACCTATTTCAGAAAAAAAAATTATATGTTTACATATGTTCATTAAGAAACAAAAAAGAATTGAACTAGATTTATTTTCCTGAAAATTGATCACACCAAAGATTTGAGTACGATTTATTTGATAAACTAAAGCAATATAAACCGGCTTAAGGTAGATCAGTGTAAAAATTTCAATACTCACTAAGATTGCTGATCAAAAACTTTTTGCCATAGCTTAGGATTGTCAAACAATAATTTCTGTTAAAAGTAGAGGAAATTGGGAAGATTGTGTGACGCGCGCAACAGATTTTCTTACTTTCACTTAGTCATCTTTATTTTCTTATTCAACCCTTTCTGACACTACGATATGAACCCTTTATCTTACATTGGAAATTGAATAGCTGTAACTTCGTTAATAGTTGTCCAAAATGAACGATTTTTATATGGCTTTGTAGGGAATTTCTTTGCCTTGCAAAAGACAGGCTAAAATGGCTCTGAAACATACAGATCTGTCGAAAACCGCATATCGGAAATTTGACCCGATTGCAATACTTTCCTTACCTAGTATAGGTAACTTATTACTTTCCTAAGTAATAAGTTAAAAAATGTATTAAACATAGAATAAGCTGTATCATCGCTAATACTGGTACGATTCCGATAATTTTTGTTGTTGTTTTGTTGGTAATTTAATTGCCTTTGAACACACCAGATATTATGGATTATAATATTAATAAATATCGGACCTTGTTTTTTGGATATTGTTCAGCGATTCATCCTCTCTGTAATGGTGTATTATTAAAAAATTATTATTAAAAAAAATCTTAACGCGACGCCGTGTTAAAGAGTCGAAAAGGGAAAAATAGTGTTCAAAACTAAATGATAACGAGTTTTATGGAAGGTATGCATTAAAATATCTCAGAAACTAAAAATCGGACCTGCATACTGTAAGCGAGGAAAATATTCCGGGTTTCAGCCTATTATAAAGATATAATGAGCTATTATTTATAATTTATATTTCATATTATTAATTTCTCCTAGTTGATGTTTTCACTTCTATCGAGTGGCCTAAAGCGCAAACTTTAGTTTTTATCTTTTATACATATACATTAAATTCAACTTTTGCTTATTAAAAAATCCTTTTAGCGTTAGCTGGACCTGGGGTGCTCTCCCTAATCACAATGAACATACCGACATTTTTAATGCTGATCAATTTATTCCAGACAAATCTTGAAAATATCGAAAACCAAGCCAGGAAGGATGAAGATCATAAGTCACACCGGTCCCCCTCCACGATCAGCAGCTTGAGGCTGGACGATCTAGATGGAACATCGCGGGACGAGCTTCAGGTATTTTCATTTTTTTTTATTTTATCTAGTAACGCATGCTATTACCTGATTGGATTAGACTAACAGCAAAGAATATTTTATCGTTTGCTTCTAACCCTACGGTTAATTGAATAAAATGTATTATTTTATTTATAAAGCTATCTAATAATATCACCCGAGATATTAATGAGAGAAATCGCTTTGTGGGTAAGGTACTGACTTCATAAGCTCAAAATCTCGGCTTCCAATCTGGCTGATGGTAGGTAATTGTTTATTCTGTTTAATCAGCCGTGGACCAACCAATTTCTTAATAAATTTAGTACTCTTAATTAAATAATTTATTAAGAGAGAAACCCAGGCGTTGAGAATAACCCTGGCCCGATCAACTCCCTGCGCAATTGCTGGACTTGAACAGTACTTACACTTCACAAAGTACTGAAACCAAGACCCTTCCTGGGTTTTAGTTGTATTGGTTTAATATAAAAGTGGCTCACAGTCAAATCGATACGTCTAGATATTGATAGAAATATTTTAATAAATATATAGTTCAATTGATATTACATTGAAAACAATAGTTTATTGTAATCAATAAACGTCCTAGTATATATACGTGCTTTTCTTCTTTTTTTTCATGTTCTTATGTTATGATTGGCGGTTTCTGGTATATAAAATCGAATAGTACGTGTTACAGACCCTTTTATATCGAATTATTAACATCTGAAACTTTGTAAATAATTTGATCTCATCATAACCTACAACTATTTTATATTTACAAAAACTCTTGGAATTGGGGTGATTTCAATCTGGAGGGGGGCGAACTTTGTCTATTTAATTAGGTACTAAAAACTCGTAAATACCCATTTGATTTCCTCTTGGATTGTAAGATAATTTGATCACAAAACCGAGAAAAAAGGTGGCCTTCAAAAATATTGAGTCGTTTGGCGTGACCTACGCCCCAAAAAAATACTAGAAGAATAGAGCACGTATAACAAGAAATTTCAGTATTCTAAATCGGGATATTCTTTTCTCCCTTGAAGATGTTTAAATTCCTAGAACGATCACTCAGGCTTTGCCTTATAACCAGTGGAATTTATTTTAAAAGGATAAAGAACTACTCAATGTTTCGCGATCAGTATAATCAATGGTTAAATACGTATTTGGGAGATCTGGACGAAGCGAAAAAAAAGACAGCACCCGGTGAGCATAAAATTAAAAAACCGGACACGAAGGAAAGTATGTTAAAAGAAATAGAATATGAGTTATCCGAGGTGAAGAAACAGATAGAGTTGGTGAAGAGCAGAAGAGAACAATCTTCCAAGACAATTAGTGATGAAAAAGGAGACAGTTAAATATTTCCGATAAGTATTAATAAAGGGCTATATTTTAAATATTTTTTATGTTTCTTTTGTTGCTGTAGATCTTTAGTTTTTGGTTTTTACTTTTATTGAACTGTATACAGAATATTTAGTAAGATTAGTATTGCATAAAATATGTACTATTGCAATAGGAAAAATTTGGAATCTGAGTTATCAACGGAAACAAACGTACAAACGAATCTCTTGAGTGCGGATAAATAACGAGTCTTGTAAAATAATTTTTGTGTGTTGGTGTGTGATCAGATTAACTGAAAAACAGAAATTCCTAAGAAACTGAAATTAAATATTTAGGTATTGTATTTATAGGCCTGGGATATCACAGAAACTTTCTCGTCAAAATCGGATAACCGGAGGAACCTCTTTATATAGTCCGTGGTAACAGACTCCTTTACTATCAAATTATTAAAATCCGCATGAGCTTCGTAAATAGCTTCATCTCATCGTAACCTACAAATATTTTATTATGGTAAGAGTAGTATTGCGTAAAATATGTACTATTGCAATAGGAAAAATTTTTAATCTGAGTTTTCATTCTGGAGATCGTCAAACTTTGTTTATCTGCAGATCGTAAGATAATTTGATTACAAAATTGTGTAAAAAGGGTGGCCTACAAAAATATTGGGCCAAATACCCTACACAGCCTCGTTATTTTTACATGTGTGGGGTTTAGGTGACACCAAATGACTCAATATTTTTTAAGGCTATTTTTTTTCTCGAGTTTAGCCTCAAATTATCTTATGATTCAATTTGAAAGGATATTTACGAGTTTTTACTATCTAATTAAATAAAAAAATTTTGACTATCTCGAGATTGAAAACTTCTCAATTCCAAGAGTCTCTGTAAATAAAATGGTTGTAGTTTACGATGAGATGAAGCTATAATCTGGAGATCGGCAAACTTTGTCTATGTAATTAGGTACTAAAAACTCGTAAATACCCATTTTCTTTCCGCTTGGATCGTAAGATAATTTGAGCACGAACTCGAGAATAATGCTAGCCCCTTAAAAATATTGAGCCTTTTGGTGTGATCTACACTCCCAAATTGTCAAAGTAACGAGTTTATATTGGACAAACGGATTATATTTTTGTAGACCACATTTTTTCTCGATTTTGTGATCAAATTATCTTATGATCTGAGTAGAAAGAAATGGGTATTTACGAGTTTTTAGTACCTAATTAAATAGACAAAGTTTGCCCTTCCAGATTAAAAAAGTACCAATTCCAAGAGTTATGACCCCAAATACTCTGCCATGTTAGGTAAAGAATAGCCAATTTTTAACTGCCCCAAATTTATAAAAACTCCACCACAGTCACTACATCTTAATGTGATAGAATACCTATGAGCAAAACTGGAGGTACAAATTAGAAAACTCGAAATTTCTAGCAAACAAGATTTTTAAAAAATTTCCTCAGAGTTGAACATGGTAAGCCCAGAATTCACCAAAACATTGGTCGACTCCATTAGAAACAGACCGAAGAAAGTGGTAGAATATAATTTCTTGCCTAAAAGATATTTAATTAAATGAATAGTATTTAAAATTTAATAAAAAGTGAGTATTACCATTTTTTTTTAATGATCACGTTTGAAAATTTTATTCTATTGTTTCCCCTTAATGTGGCAGAATGTATTAATATTCAATAAAAACATTCTATGAAGTTTGAAAATATTAAATTTATGATTATAACTAAATCCGTTGAAGAGTTTCTAGTTTTATTTGTTTATATTTAAAACCATTTAAGTGTTTTTTATCTACGTGTATTAATTTCACTGTGAGCGACCGTGCATGTACAGTATATAACTAATACTAAATTACCCGAATTAAACAGACCGTAAACGGTTTCTTGGCTCATGGCGTTGAATTATTTTAAAGTGAAAAAAATAAATTAATAAAAATACATCTGGCTTTCCTTATTTCCGTTTTCCTCTACAGTTACTGATAGTGTTGCCCAAAATCGGTCTTGGTCTTGCACTTTGCACCAAGACCAAGGCTGCCTAACTGTTGCAAGACCAAGACAAGAACTGGTAAAAAAAAATCGATTTTTTAAATAAAAATTAAGGCAAAATAGTTACTAATACTTGACAATTTTAGTTACTATATGTTAATAATTGGTATAACCAATATATTTTTGCATTTAAGTCCTCTACTTTTTCATTCGGGCTTAGTTAGGTTTATCCTATCTAAAAAATTAAATTAATATTTCAATAGTAATAAGCTAATAAGTAACTGCAAGACTCTTGCGATAGTCTTGCTCAAGACCAAGACCATGATCAAGACTGAGTTTGCAAGATCAAGACTGGCTCGGTCTCGCACTTGGGCAACAATAGTTACTGAGGAAGCATCAGTATCCGCTAAAGTTTTACTGGAGTACGTGCTATGTTTACGGTGCTTAATCAAGCCACGGAGATTGAGAATATGTTATCATAGTACCATTAAGCCAGGTGATTACGTAATCAACGATAATTATAGGTTTATCTGCGATGAGACAAGGAGAGGGTCTTCATCTCATAGGATGACAAAATGTTTCTATTTTCATTTAGTATAACTTTTGAAGTCTTCATGAAACCAGCAAAGCTTCAAATTGTTTGTGTCGAACGTTTGAAATGTGATGACTTCGTCTGTGTAAGCTCTTGACGCTTTTACCAATTATTTACTTACGCTGTGACGACCAAGCCTGAGAACATTGCATCCATTATGACATTAGAATGGTCCAGGTGCAAACTGTCTTAAACTGGATTTACATCATGACATTGATATTAGCAAAGTATTAGTTTATTTATTTATTTATTTATTGAGAAATATTACAATCCGTCTCAGTTAAGGACACTTATTATTATAGTTAAGGAAGATAATGTGTTTGCATTTAGATTATTTTACCTTCATGCGCCATTTCTTATACCTGTGTTTAATTTTGCTCAAAATCGGTCTTGGTCTTGCTCTTTCAAGACCAAGACCAGGACTATTAAAAAAAATCGATTTTTTTGATCAAAAATAAGGCAAAATAGTTACTAATACTTAACAATGTTAGTTACTGCATGTTAATAATTGATATAACCAATATACTTTTGCATTTAACTCCTCTAATTGTTCATTCGGGCTTAGTTAAGTTTCTCCTATCTAAAAAATTACATTAATATTTCTATAGTAATAAGCTGATAAGTAACTGCAAGACTGTTGCGAGACTCTTGCGCAAGACCAAGACCATGACCAATGAAATTTGCGATACCAAGATTCGTCACAGCCTCGCATTTGGGCAACACTACCAGTGTTCAATCAGGGAGAGGTGTCTTTGTAGGTTTACGGACGCTGTTTCAGAATTTGAGTTGAAAGATAGGATTCAAAATATTAGTAACATTTCAAAGTAATTGATTTATATGAAATAATTTTTTATCAGCAATTGTTATTGACATTAATTATATGCCAGGTTATTGCTTAAAACTTGAGACTTTAATAAATTTATGAAGAGAAGAATAGTTGGGGTGGTCAGTCAAAAAGGAAGGCAAAAATAAATGATAATATTTATTTTTTACATATGCCGACGAGAATATTTTATATATTTTCCCTGCGACACTTAAGGAAACAGCCCTGATGAAGGCCTGAACTTCAGGTCGAAACGTCGGCATATGTAAAAAATAAATATTATCATTTATTTTTGCCTTCCTTTTTGACTGACCACCCAAAACTATTCTTCTCTTCATTATCCACGACAGTCAACCAATTACCAATTATTAATAAATTTATCTTCTTTACGCAGATTAATTAAACGTAAGTTTAGTCTTGCTGACGAAATACATACTTATTCGATGACCGGTGGTGGTCCGATCTAATCTCAATAAATAGAATCAAATAAAATACAGTTTTCATATTCCCGAATTTTTTTTGCAAACATTCAGTATAATGTTTAATGTTTCAAGGTTCAAGTTTTTTAAAGTCTCATAACAGCTGTTAATAACATAAATTTCGAGTTCGATTCAAAATTTTTTATGAAATGCCCAGAAAATATTTAGGTTTTCGACGCTCCGCATTTTGATAAAAAGTTGCAAATGACAGATCAAAATGAATTACAGTTTTCAATGAGTTCTGTATAACTTTCAAAATATGTTTTATATAAATCAGCTTCGCTATTTTTGACAAAATCGCCAAAATAAAGTAATGAAAATAAGAACAGTTTAATAACAATTTAATATTCTTTCAATTATACTTAAGTAATTTGTAATAATTAATATTAAAAATTATTGTTCTATAATTCCATAAGTTAGGAACAGATGTTTTTTTTTCTCAATAAAATAAAGTTTAGCAGGTTCTAGTAGTTCGTGGGATGCTTGCTATTTCTTTATACGTCACATATGGTTCATTCCACCAATTGATACGAATTATCTTCCTCAGTATTGATCGTTTAATATTGTTGCTTCTCTGTAAAATTACTTATTTGCCTACTGTTAGCAATGGAAGCTAGACAGGCCATCAAGACCATTCATGGTGTTTAAGTATCGTTATTTTTGATATTAATTTGTTTCCACAATTAAATTTGAATAAAAATTCTTATAACCTATTTTCGCCAGAGAGTCTCATAAATTGAGTTGGTAAATTCCTACTTACCGAAATTAGTATTAACCTCTATTAGCCTATTATTCTTTAATAGCGCATCTATCATTTGAACTAATGAATTTTGTTAAGCAAACCTGATTATCTCAAGTTACATTCAAATTATTGAATTCAGCGATTCATGAGAGGAGATTGAGGAATTTCGAGGATAGAAAACCGATATTCGATCATGTGGTAAGGGAAGAGCTATAGAATGCTCCCAAAAAGAATATCTGAGGAGACCTTATCCAAGCTATACACTCGACATCCTAAAGATTCTAAAAGGATAATATAGAAATAGCAAAGGTCTTGAGTGTGTACAAATGGGTCAAACAAGGCGACAGTCTCAGATTTACTTTATAATGTATTTATGGATGAGATTCCGAAAATCACTAAGCCCAGAACTGCAAGAGAAATCATAGGCAAATGGAATATGTGAACGATACTAGCTCAAGCTGTCCAATCGGATATTATTGTCCTCATAGCTAACTTAGCACAAGCATAACACTAATTAATCAATTAAAATCAGGAATAGGAAGCTGAGATTGGAAGGAATCGACTAAATTAAGAAAAAAAACATGCAGATAGGTTGAGAAGTTAAAGAATAACTGTAGTGGTAAAACCTAGGTTAAAAGAGGAATTATGTACTAAGATCAAGGGACAGTCCTTCGAAGAAACATCAAGACATCAAATACAATTCCAAGACGCATATAACCAGTATATGCAAATCTTTCGTATGTCAATGAGTGGCTGGACATATTTCAAGACTACCATAAGGTATAAATCATACCGCAGCTGAAATTAAATGAATAGGAACAGTTCATTGCCAAATTAGAAGAAGTCTCAGATAAGATCCCAAGAAGTCCGGAGGGGATTTTAGCTGTTGAAAAAATCCCACGGCCTCAGCCTCTGGCCCGTTAAAACCACGTATAACATTAAAGAGGAAGAGAAGGACGAACAAAAGTCGAAGGACCACGATGGTCAGGGTATATGGGTAGAGACCCCTCTTATATAATTATTTTATTTCTGTACTATGCGCCTTTTAGACAATATGTTTTTTTTTCGGGCCATCGGGATGAGCGCGGTAGTAATGGCAATATTAAAAGTCCTCCTATGCACCGGGATTTGAACTCGTAATCTTCGATTTATCATATTTTTTATCATTAGATAAATCCTGAGCTCTGAGTAATAATAATATAGGAATAATCTTATTTAAGGGACAATATTACCATTATACATTTCTTCCGCGTGATTTCATATCTCTATTTAGTCTAAACTGAAGCAGGTGCATTTGCCAATATTATCAGAATCCCATCTCGAATAAATTATAAAAATTAATAATGAATAAATAAATGCTTTATTTTGGTGGAAGTTGGATCTCTAACTTTGTAGAAAATGTAAGTACGGCCCACATAATGACGTTCACAACTCAAAGCATATTCATGAGAGTTAATTTTGACTTGCGTTTATAAATTTAAATATGAAGACCATCTTTATTTATTTAAAACCTACTGAAATCTGTAAATGTTACACATAGTTATTTACATAAACATATAGATAAAAACGTCTTCGTAATTTATTTTGCAGATCCAACAGCCAAATGAATACAGGGAATTGCCGTGCACAAGCACTGAAAAATCTACAAATGAAGAAAAAAGAAAAGCTTCAGAAGAAACTTTACTAAAAACGGTAAAATTCCTATAATATTTTGAAATTAAATGGCTGGCGGTATGACTTAAAGTATATCTTCACGTTTCAGAAATAGAAATATCATTTAATTCAATATTTGTTTGTTCAAATAAGTTTTATTTAATTATTGCACTCACCCATTTCTAATCTTTGTTTCGTCATACTTATTTCTTATCAGAAAGAATCATTACTATATATTCGACTAGCTGATGCACCCGTTGTTGACTGGTGAGTAGTTAAAATTTGAAAATATTTTTTGAGATGGATTTTGTATTGTGGGGAGGGGAGGGATGCAAATATAATTTCATAAAATTGGGGGGAAGAGAGGGGTTGTTTTGAATTTTTTTATAGGGGCTTATGGAAGTCGAGATTTCGCAATAGTCATAACAAAAACTTTGTTATTCGGCTATTTGTTTAGGCGCCACACAACTTAACTGACCTCCACCGATCCCTTAAATTTTGTGTTTAATTTTTATTTATGATGAAGCGAAGAGATTGAGATTGTTGGGTCTATTGAAATAATCAAAATGAGTGTTTTATCCGAGTTTTAAGCGACACCGCGTTACAGATTTTTGGGATTTCGGATTTTCCCTTTGAGTTGTGATAATTTTTTCAATCAGTTGAATAGTGCAACTTTTAAATGTGGCTCGCGGTAGAGTAGGTAGGGATGAGAATCGAAGTAAATAACTGCCTAACCTGGATCTGTAGACAAATTAAAATTATCTATAAAGGGATTATATTAAAGGGATCTCTAGACACATAGCCAAATAACAAAGTTTTTATTATAACTATTGTGAAATATTTACTTCTCTAAGCCCTCCCCCCCATGAAAAATGTTAATACAAACCTCCCCACCCAATTGTATGCAATTAAATAAGAATCCTTCCTCATAATACAAAATCCATCCCAAAAAAAGATTCTCAAATTTTAACTCTATACCCGTCAACGATGGGTACATCAGTCCAACAACAACTCCCCCCCCCCTCACCACACAATTTTATAAAATTATATTTGGATCCTCTCTCCCCATAATACATAATCCATATCGAAAAAAGATTCTCAAATTTTAACTATACACCTGTCAACGACGGGTTCATCAGCTAGTTGTAAAATAAATTGTTCACAATATTATATTACTGGGGATAAGAAAGTTTTGTTATTATAATTAAACAAAATTTTATTTTTTTGATTATGTTATTATAATTTAAAAAAAATAGTTTTGTTATTATAATTGATCAGTTAAATAGTACAACTTTTAAATGTGGCTCGCGGTAGAGTAGGTTGGGATAAGAATCGAATTAAGTAACTGCCTAACCGGGATCTCTAGACAAATCACTCAAGAATTCATAACTGTGGTTCTACTCAATAATATTTTTTTCATTTAAAGCTTATGTTTTAAGTTAAGCAAACTTAAATATAATGTCAGAATTTCAAAAGTCTACCATTAGCCATTCCTGAACTTACCCCTGACAAAATTTTGTTGAACAATGCGGACATACCGACAACAAATGTCTATTTGATGTATGTAATGTATGAAACGAAAATATATCATGAAACGGGTTGATTCTATGCAATGTACAGACAAAACCTTTATTTTATTTATATAGATTCCATTAACAATATGGTATTTAAAATACATTTATAAGCTTAGTTAGGAAAAAATTATATACTAAAAACATATGTTAACAATATAGCTATCCGAGATTAAAATAGTGTTGTAATTTTTATATTTAATTCAAATATGGTGGAAACTTTTGCTAGGAATGGCATCATCGTGATTAGAAACACCTACTTACTCAAATTCGTAGGAGTATCTTGGATAGTTGGCAATATTTCTAGAGAACCGAAATTGTGTGAGCTTAGAGGATTATGGTCTGATTATTGAACCAAAAACACTTAGATGCAATTTTTAAAAATCATTATAAACCTTTTAACCTACCCATGTCTTTCCTTGTTGTCTTTGATTGTTATCATAATAATCCGGATTAATTATATGTAATTATGTGATATTATAGTTCTATGATGAATGTCTAAGCTTTTTAACATTTTTTCAATCAAACTATATTCCTAATTAAATTTGAAATTTATATATCGACATTAAGTATCTTTTTGATAGCTTACCTGCAGGAAAACTGGTACTCCGCGTTCTTCAACAAATCAATTCTGTAGCCAATATATTTTACAACAATACTTATAGTACATTACTTCAAAATAATAGTTACATGAGACATGTGAAAATAATAACGTATGGTTAATAAACATGTGGTAGTATTAAAGTCATATGATGTTGAAATATTGTTGTCATTCACATTGTAGTTTTATATTATAAATATATAGGGAAAAATCAATTCATATAAATAGTAACAGTACAATAGTTATAATATAAAAAATAGAGAACTTATATTTAAATTAAAATATTATGAAGAGTAACAGTGTACACGTTCAGTGACGTACTAGATTTCAGACTTCTTTTAGGATGATAGGAAGCATTAAGTGACAACGTCAAATGAATAAAACCTTAAAGCAAAATCTAGTGACATAACTCCTAAGACAGTGCCAAATGAATAAAATCTCCAGATGTCCGCCGACCAATAATGATTTGGTAGCACATCCAAACGGATCTTCCGGTCATCTTTTACCGACCTCTTACACGGTGGGCTAGACTCCTTATTGTATTTCTTTGTGTTCCTTTTAACTACTTATTTAAAAAAATCCATGTTCCCACAAAAAAGCGTGAACGGACTGCCCCAAAATGGCGTACAAACATGGCTGACTGACGAATTTGGTCACTGAGAATCAACATTTGGCTTAATTTCCGCATAATCACAGGCGGATCTACGGGGAGTGGAGGGGGAAGCTTTCGGACTGAAGTTGTGGGAACATTGGCTTTTTTTTATAAATAGTTACGAGGAACATAACTATATGCAATTTATAGGGATATGGGAAGGGATAAACGGTAGGGGGATCTCCTCATCCAGTGAGTCCTATCTTTTAAACACAGTCTGTAGAGGCCTTCGGATTTCATAATTTAGACACCCTCAACAATTGGTGACACCGACATGATGACTAACCATTGTAACTCATTATCAATACAAATTCCTGAGTTAACTAAGATTTCCACCAAGAGTGAAATATATGACTAAGTGTATAGTGTGAAATATACATAATTGCCATTTTAAATCAAATATTTTATGGTGAATTATAACTATCAAGTATTCAATTAATTTGTAGAAAAATACTTAAGGTTCAAGATACTGAAATAATTTTGTTTCTAAAATAAAAAAAAAACGTCTGCCAAGAATAGGTTCCACCAGTCCTATAGTCAATTTGAAGCTTTTTTATCAATTACATAATTACATAATTTACAAAGTCTATGATTTATCATTTAAGAATAAAATCTACAGGAGGAGAAACACTCTACTTAGAGAAATAAGTCGGCGGAATTTAACAAAACCAATATTACATTATCCATCTCTAATTATTCTCCAAATAACCTTAGCTAAACTATAAGAAATTGGCGATAAATTTACTAAAAATAAAGGGTATTATGTCTGTCTGAACGTATTTAACTGTATTGCTAACACATTACCCGACATTAATGATACTAGAGGCATTAATTACTTTTTAACAGACAAAAGTAATTACTATTTTTATTCTATTTCTTTGAATAATTGTTGTTGCATATGCGCAGATAGAGTAATAAATATTTTTTATTACATCAGTTTTAAGTTAAACATCAGTTGTTAATTAGCAGTTAGTTTGTATGCAGATAATTTCATACTGTCCGGTCGACTATTTCTATGTGAAGAAGTGCATTCAATACGCTGTGACATTCTTTCTGGCTAAGATTGGGACAATATTATCAATTGACCGCCGCACCTGTTCAGCGTCCTTAATAAGGAATATGAAAAAAATGCCGTTTTCATCATAGTCGATATTTTACGTTTACCTCGCTGTTTTTACTATTTGCTTGATTATTAACTATAGCTCTAAGAAATGTATCGTTTACAGAAAGATTTAAAAATAATAATTCAAACTTAACAGTTATTTTTTAATTGATATGATGAAATTCATTCGCTTTTTAGACCAAATTTCAGAACAGATGGAGCAAAAATATCAAGAGAATCAAATGGCTGATAAACAAGAAATAAAACAAACAGAGATTATAATAGTTGGCTACTTTCTCAACGACGACATTCAGGAAGAAAAAAAGGTGAGTATAGACAATTTTCACAAATAACTGAATACAAGTATACCCGTTCGGGTACACTCTTATAATAGAACATGTTTTTGGACCCTCAACATCTTTAAGGCAATAATGTTATTCTTTTATTATTTCGAGTTCATTTTAAAAAATATACATTTTATTGAAAACATTTTCTAAATTCCTAAAGCCGGAATAGTTGATATGTAGAGGGTACTCCTCTAAGACATGACTAATGGTCAACTGTAAATCGCACCTAACATATTTTGGAGTTGATTCTTTTGTGATTAGAAATCCGTGGGTAAGACGTGTGTGGCCTATCCTCAGTCTTGTTATAACAACCTCTTCTGTTCTGTTGTTGAGGTTAGATCTTTTCCGTACCTTAATGTCTTTCTTAGGTGTGACTGAGGTTTTTATGTTTTTAATTTACTTTTGTTTTTTCTGTTGGCATTACAGACCTTATAGATCTTTTGCTGCCTTAACAAGGCTGTTCCATTTCTCTCTGTCTTGCGCTATTTCTTTCCAGTTATCTGCACGCAGCTCAATTACATATATATTGATTCTATCTATCCATCTGCTTTTTGGCTACCCACGTGGTCTTTTACTTTCTATTGAGGCATCCATTGTTACGTAGAGGCTTCAAGGTGGATTGCTACGAGCTACTTATACCGCCCATCTTAACCTCCGTGCCTTCATATCATGGGATGTTGATTGGCCAGTTTCTAAAAGCAGTTCTTTGTTGGTCTTTAGTAGTTCTTTTAATTTACCTATCTTTAGCAGTTCTTTAAAATTACTTATCTTTAAGTTATTTTATTTTTCATTGTAGTTTATGATTATTATTTAATTCATATTTTACTTTTGTTTATTTTATGTTTTCTGTATATATGGTGTGAATGTGATCTTACTTCACTATAGCCATTGTCCGTGTGACATATTTTTATATTACTGAATAAAAAAAAATACATTTCCTCATACGTATAATTGATTTTGGTCTTCGGGCGATCTAAAGCCCAGCTCAGGTCATCTTGACTTGATAATTTAAATATTTGAATATATTTGATAAAATATAGATGTTACTTCAATTGATGATTGTGCTGTTTTCTTGGTTGCTTTGTCGGCCTCTTAATTTCCTTTAATTCGTATGTGTGATGGTAGCCAGACTAGAGTTTCGGTTTTATTCAAGGTCTTTTATCTTTGTGGAATAGAATTAGGCTAGTATTAAATATATATTTTCTTATCCGGATGCATTCAAGCTATAATATGATAATAACAGGGAATCGTCTATTAAGAGTCCACAACACACAAACAATTAGTGAAGCTATATATTTCAATATGACTATGTTAAAGTTTTTGTTTAATAGAAAGTTACCTTGCACTATTGAAAAACATACTTCTTACAATTAAAAAAAAATATCCACAACCTGATAAGTATATGATGTTTTAATAAATAATTTTGATTAAAAATTACTTGTATATTCATTTAACATTTTGTGACACCATTATTTCACTTCTGCTATAAATAATTACAAAAAGAAATGATAGTGAAATTACTTAACCGACGCATATAACATTTTTCGTCCAGCTGAACGCATGGCTCGGTGGTCTAGGGGTATGATTCTCGCTTAGGGTGCGAGAGGTCCCGGGTTCAAATCCCGGCCGAGCCCGCTTACGTTTTGTACATTTTTTTTATGTTATTCACTTTAATCGCTTAAACTGATATGGGAAACAAATACCAAAATATAATATTTTATTTTGATTACATTAAAGGTTTAATTTTTTTATCGTACTTACAGAAAAAAAAATAATCAAAAGGAAACAAAAATCAATATTTATTTTGGGTAGAGAAAAATAAAGAATTTCATTTTTTTTTTTTTGTTCCTATAATCTATAAAAAAATAGAAAAAATGTTTTGTTTCATCTTAAAAACCTCTGAAATGGTTAAAAACAGTAAATAAAGCACTAAAGTAAATGGGTGGGCATTGTTTAATTTGACGATTATAATAAAATTTACCGACAAACTTTTAGAACTAACTCTTTTATTTATAAATAATAATTTATCAACTTAATTCGATAACGTCTATTCACTTTGAACAAATATTCTGGGAAAAAAAATTGTCAATTTAAAATTATTGGTGTTAATAAAAAAGAATCAAAAACATTTTTTTAGGATACTTTATGTTTTAAATTTCAATATTTTAAGAAGTATTAAAATGTAATACATACAATAAACCGATTAAGATAGGTTTTATAAAATTTATAAAATTTAAAGGATTTAATATTTTTTCCCGGTTTCATTCTATATTAATCAGAGATAATATCGTACTTGTCATAACTAAATCTTTATTTTTCATCCTCCTTTTTAAGTCTTTCATGAAGTGAAACGTAATGATATTTTTAAGAAATAAAAAGTAAACAACTGAGTTTAAAATGAATGGTAATATTTGACTCTATATTTTTTTTTTTTGTTTAAACTTTTATTATGATATTTACAACTGTATTAGTATAAATACATCAAGTAAATTTGTACAGAGAAATATTATTACATGAAACACGCTTGTTGAGAAACTACCCACTGGTAGCACTCTAATAATTTGTCTACATGAGAAGATCACGAGGCCATCTTCTTTTCAGACGCCTCGGAGGGTTATCAGGAATCGAAGAGGAAGCAAGGTTAGAAACAAGAGGATTCGGATGGTTATGAAGTTATGGAAGGATAGGTATCTGGATTTGGCCAAATCGGAAACATATGGAACATTGAGGTCTTTATGGATTATTTTATTAGTGACAAAGTAAGGAGCATTGAGGATTTTAAGAGGGATTTTGGATTGTAAGGATTGGATGCGAGAGGAATTCGATGGTTTAGTGGAGCCCCATAGCTCAACTCCGTAAGTCCAAATAGGTCTTATTATAGTCAAGTATATGAGTCTTTTGTAATTAAGGGGAAGTTTAGAGCGTTTGTCTAGTAAGTGTTGGAGTAGTCGGAAACGTCGAGCGGTTTCTTGTCGTTTCAGTCTGGTATGAGGATTTCAAGTTAGACGTTTGTCCAAGTGAAGTCCAAGGTATCGGATTTCTTCAACAGGGATAAGTGGGGTATTATTAAAGGATACTGTGGGACATGAGGTCATAGGTTTACGTCGAAGGGTAAAGGTGATTTGATGGGATTTATTAGAATTTATTTTAATCCTCCAGTTTTGACACCATTCTTCAAGGCTTGTGATGTGTGATTGAGACTCTATATTAAATAATAATTTTAATATTTTTGGACGTAGTATCACCAAAACCAGTTGTTTGAAATAAATTCCACGTTCATAACCTCCTAAACTATTTAGTTATTATGCTGTTATTTTGTCTTGTTTCAATGATTATTTGGATATTATATGATGAAAAAAATATAGAATATATATATATAATATAATATAGAAATATAGAATTTAATTAAATGTATTTTATAAGATATGTAATTTTTATATTTATTATTTAATATTTATGTAATTTGTAAGATATGTCATTTTTATGGTAGGTGACATTTGATCTCAATGCTACACAAATTGATAAGAAATCCATTCCAGATAATGTTGAGAACAAGTCTGAAAAATCACAAGAAGGAACTATTACAGGTATACATTTACATATCTATTACATTTTTGGAATACATATAACGTTTATAAAATATTAATGTACTATATTAAAATTTTAAAATTTCAAAAAACTAAGTTGATTTACAAATTTCAAAACGGAAAAAATTACAGAAGGAAAGTAGGTCTAATATTCAATATTTTCAATAACAGACAAATGCTGAAGTATGCGACCCAGTATTTCTGTAAAACCTAGCGGACATAATTATAAACTCATAAATGTAAACTGTGTATTATAAATGTAGTATATAAATATTATTATTATACGGCACAATATATGTTTATTTAATTATTTATTTTGTTAGAACTTTAAAGATAGCATATTGGCGAAAAGTTCGTAATAGACATTATTCAAACACAAATTTACTCAATAATGAATATTATTTTGAATTTTCATTCGAAATATTTACCAGAACATGGTAAGTGTTTAGCTTTATAAGTAGATGGTTACTGGTAGATTCATATAGTGCGATGTTATATAGTCTAAAGCATTCCTTAATAAAGAGTCTATGGAACACAAAGAAAAAAAAATTTTAATTTAAAATATAAATATATATTATTTTTCTAAGATGTTTTTGTCCTTAATCCACGATCAAATCAGACGACTAAGTTATCGTTTTGATTACCATCTCTATCTATGGAAAGTAATGAAAAATAAGAAAAAAGTTATAAAGAAAAAGAAAACTTTTTTTGGACATAACTCAAACTGTATACAATTTACGCACACAAGAATTTAAAAGATTTCTATAAGGTTTCCATTTTTTATCCATTCCATATTTTATTATATTTAATAATAAAAAAAGATGATTTTGACATATAAAAAATATCGATTTTATTCTTTCATAAAATGTATAATTATTTAATAATGAATGATGATTAGTTTATCCTTGATATTATCTGATACTTGATTTGAGATTACATAAACAATATGAATAAATAAATAAGAGACGGTCGTATCAGCATGTAACTAGAAGAATCTAATTTTATTAAAACTTTCATTTAGTATTTTCAAATAAAAAAAATAATAAAAATTATGAAAATTGTCAGCAAAGCTATTACATTTCATATTTTAGAGACGGTAAATTTTAAATTAACTACTTATTAAATATTTAAATTAATAGTTATTAAACTTCCATGAAAAAGGCAATGAAAGTTTTTTACTTACGGGCAGTAGCGAATATTGGATTTAATTTTGGAGAGAGTTTATTGTTTAACATATATATATATATATATATATATATATATATATATATATATATATATATATATATATATATATATATAAACATGAAGCTTGAAAAGAGACATAAGATAATTATGTAATAAATGGAAAAATATAAACAACAAAGCCACTACTCTCCAACATACAGGTGAATAGTTGACCTGCCAACGTTTCGCAAATTCAGGCATCGACAGGGCAGAAAAACCAAGATCACTTATATGAGAAAAGAAAATCTACCACATACTAAAGGAAAGAGAAGGTACCATTAACGCAACTAAGGAAGGTTATATTGAACAGCTGATTAGCAGAAATATAAGAGAACAAATCTGGTGCGCGCAACACACAACTTTCACTTACCGATCTACTTTGAATAGAAATTATTTTCTGGCAATGCTGGGCTATTATAAAATTTTTTAAAGAGCATTTTAAACGAAGCTAAAGCTTAAAACTTACAGATAACAAGTCATTAAGACCATTATAATTACAAAATGTCTATTCAATATATCGACGACAGACAATAAAAATATAGTCACTCCATCTGCTTTTATAAACCACACAACTTTCTTTGGTTTTATAAACCACAGAATGACTAACTCCAATTTCAACATTTTTAAGTGATGTTATTTTAGTGATACTTTTAGTTTAAAAAGTTATCTATGCAGACAATGAGTAAGTTGATTCCAGAGGTGGTGATTGCAGTGTTGAAATATAGAACTGAGAATAAAGGTATAGATTTAGGTACGTATTTCATATGAAAGATGTTCTTAGGGAAAAAGGTATTTTTAGTCAACAATTAAAAAAGTATATTTTAAATTTATCCAAATTTTCGCCTCCTCAGGAGAAAAACTTTTTTTTTTTTTAAATCTTTTTATTGAGAAATAATACATTTTGCCACATTTAAGGGCACTGAGTACTAAAGCTGAGTGAGGCTCATTCATACTATATATACAATGCAATAAAAAAATAAAATAAATAAAAAAATATATATCTATATAACAAAGGTAAAAACTATAAAACTAAAGATATGTAACTTGAATTCAAATTAAAAAAAATAAAATAAAATAATAATAAGTAAAACAAATAGATATATAAAAAAGAAAAACATTCATACTTAATATATAAAAAAGAAAAACATTCATACTTAATATATAAAAAAGACAAACATTCATACTTTATTTACAATCAGCCAAGAGAGCTCCGAGTCCAGCCCTTTCTTCCACGTGTGAAGGACAGAGCGAGACTCTAAGAGATCCCAGCGCTTCTCTCTCAGCTGCGTCACCGGCAGGAGTCCAGTGGAAACTGAGAGAGGGCACTAAAGCAACAGACGCTCATGACGTGAGTGGAGAGGCTGGCCATTGCCAGAACTCCAGTGACAGTCTTTACAAAAGGTCTCGAGGCCTCTGCCGTTTCAACCTTCGAGGAGGGTTGTAGGGATGACTTGAGCTGGATAAGGATTGTGCTAAGGAGTTAATATGGTGGATTAGGTTCAGATGAAAATTTGAGAATCGAGATGGAATAACGTCAAGAACATAAGGGATGTAAAGGTCATGATGTAGGGTTTTGTTTGTAACATAATAAGGAGCATTGACTATTATACGGAGGACTTTAGACTGAAAGGATTGGATGCGTTTGATGTTCAAAAATTTAGTAGTCCCCCACAGTTCAAGTCCGTAGGTCCAGATGGGTTTGAGTATGGTCTTGTATATTAATAGTTTGTTTTCTATTGAGAGATTGGATTTTCTGTTAAGTAGTCTGTCTAGCTGGCCAAATTGTCGGTTAAGTTCTTGTCTTTTAAGTCTGGTATGTGGGTTCCAAGTTAGTCTTTTGTCTAAAAGGAATCCAAGATACCGAACTGTGTCTGAGATGGGGAGAGATACAGAGTTGAAAAGGATATGTGGGCAGGATCTGCGTCGGAGGGTAAAGGTGACATGCTTGCATTTGGATTCATTTATCTTAATGCACCAATTGTTGCACCATTGCTCAATCAGGGAGATGTATCTTTGTAGGTTTAAGGATTCTGTTTCAGGATCTGAGTGGGAGGACAGGATGGCGGTATCGTCAGCGAAGGTTGCTAGAAGGGTATCGGGGTTGGTTGGATTGTCAGCGGTGAAGAGGATGAAGAGAACTGGGCCCAAGACACTGCCTTGTGGAACACCATCTTCAATTGGATAATAGTTGGAGAATTCAGTGCCGCAGCGGACTTGAAAGGAACGATTTGAGAGGTAGGATTTGAGGACTAGGTACAAGGATTGGGGAAAGTGAGTTTTGAGTTTGAAAAGCAAGCCATCATGCCACACCCGGTCGAAAGCTTGCGCTACGTCCAGAAAGGCACTGGTGCAATATTAGGAGAAAAACTAGAGACCATATCGTTCCTCCTAATTGTCCGATTTCAACGATTTTTTGTTTTTGTTTTTTTAGGAAATTCCGTAAACGTTTAAAAAACCAACGTTTTTGAGAAAATTGTAAAAATGTATTTCAGCGTTCATATAAAGTGGCATTTCCGGTTAGCCAATTTTAACAAAAAAGTTGCTGTCACATCCGACTCATATACAAACCTTAAATACTTAATTAGAGTGGTACCAATGGGTAGTTTCTCAACATGTGATTTCATGCTATTTTATTCATTTGTTCACATTTGCTGAATGTATTTTTACTTGTAATACAGTTGTAAATATCATCAATAAAAAAAAAAATAACAAAAAAAAAATACTTAATATCAGTTTCGTACTACTTTATGAGCTACATTTTATGAGCAAGACACACAGACCATTTTGCGACACTTGGTTATTTGGAACATGTATCTCCGTTGAAAACTGAGATTCGAAAATTTTCACGACAGCAATACTTACCCTTACTATATATTACGTATATACGTAAGTGAAAGTAAAAAAAAGTTATCCATAACTAAAATATAGTAATAAGATAGGTGTTAAAATAACAAATTAATAAATTCAAAAGAAAAAGTTCAAAAGTATAAATAACATCCATTCCCCACAGAACTCAGTGGATACGGCTATTTCACATGTAATATTTTTATTTCTATATTGTTTTTTCTTTCTGCATATAAGTGATATTGGTTTTTCTGACCTTATAATGCCTAGCCATGTTGGTATACCTGGAATTGAACTGGCTGGCACAGGTGCCAAGGGAGCCAGCTCCATATTTCCAGAATCTAAACTTAACACGGTGACTTCAATGCAGCCGTGCTGAATCATTGCAAAGAAGCATGGAGCTACTTTTGGTTCAAGGTCCCAAAGACCAACAAACTGAAGACCATTTATGAAGATACAGAGCCGCTGCCTCGAATAACAGAGAATTGTCTGGATCAAACCATAATTTGTAGACTCGGAATAGGACATACTAGGCTGAAGAATGGACACCTCCTTGAAGGGAAGCCTCATCATATCCTAGATGCATCACACCATTGACCATCGAGCACATCATGGAAAATTGTCAGAGCTCATGTACTTCAAGAATTTCACTAAGACTCCAGAGCTACCGTGAAGCCTTGGTACAGGAAAACTAGAAGAACTTTCTGCAATTTTCGAAGAATAACAAACTGTATAAAATGAAATAAATTATGTAACAGAAACACGGTGCCTCTAGCCTTTGTTGTTGTACATGGCACTTTAAATTGTAATTAAATAAATAAATGATGCCTGAATTGGCTAAACGTTGGAAAGTTAACTATTTAGCTCTGTCTTGCAGACCCATGCCTTTGTAGTTTTGATTTTTCCATTCATAATGTATATATAAAACTATATTTATGTCAGAAGAAAAATGAATAAAGCCAATTATTCTATAAAAGTCAATTATAGAAACACTAATGCTTTTAAGGATATATTTCTTATATTTTTTCTTTTTTACGCCCTCTTATGTGTAGAAGCTGTATATGAAATGAAATTAAAAAAATATTTTATTATTCTGGGACTGTTACAATTAGACTATGTTACAAAGACACTATGTCTGTGTGGTTACAGTTAGATTGTATATTTACAATAAGAGTTGACTAAAGATAAAAATACTGAAAAGAGAAAGAAAAGAACAAGAAAAGTGTACATATATATGAGAAACTAAAATAACCTAAATAAATTGAGGTAGTCTCTGGCGTCGCTTAGGTATTTCTCTTAAGTATATTTCACAATCAGTTGGAATTCCAGAGGAAGGCGGCTTGTATTGCAAAGGATTTGTCAAACGCAGCAGTTCGGTGAGGAGGAGGATAGAGGTCGGAAGTACGAGATCTAGTGGGACCGGATTGGATGGAGTATTTGAATTGTAAGCTGTAAAAAATATAGGAGGGTCGATGAGTTATAATTTTAATTTTTTATGCGTTATAATTTCAAAATAACACATATTATGATTGTTCAAGTAATACTTTCTGATTACTCATGGAAACAAACATGGACCAATAAAAATAATATACTTTTCTAGTTTGGGAAGGCTTCAACCTTAACCCCTCCCCTTTGAATCGAACTGTTTACTAGTGATGTAACACACACAACAAGGTGCTCGTGGGCACAAAATTGAATATTTTTATGTGCAGTATTTGAGTGTTTTGGATAAGTTTTTTTTTTCGATAATGGAACTTATAAAAAACAAACGAATTTCTCAACATTAATAGCATTTACTTATTTCCGAATTATTATTACTACATGTAGCAATATATAGGTAGTTTATTACAATATGATCACTAGACAGTATACCATGAAAATTATTCGTACGTAGTCAATATTAAAAATCAACACAATAAATATCATTTCAAATTGATCATTTATTGAAGATAGTTACAAAAAAAGATTTTTTAAAAACTGAATTTCTAAATTATTAAAAAATACAGATAAATAAATAAAATTGTATGACTATTGCAAACATTAGGTAGTTGCTAAGACAATAAAATAACAAATAAATGTATAAATTGAACAAAGGAATTATTATTTCGATTTTAGTAATTATTATATTACCCTTTCTCCTAAAATTAATTAATCAATAATTTTCAGAATTATTTCTGTCATATTCTATCACTATTTCTTAAAAAAATATCAGGCGAGTTTTCATTAAGCATTTGGTCTAGATATCGCTTCAACTTCGAGGAATGATTCTGGTCTACAGTCTATGGAGAAATCTGCCCATAAGGTATCTTTAAAATATATTAATAAATATTTCTTAATTGCTTAATTTGATGATTATTTACAAATTCTCTTATTTCAAGTCTATGGCATGTGTGAAACACAATTCAAAGAGCAACATAAAAGGAGGTAGCTGGAATTCAGTCGAAATGGTGGTAATGTCCTCACAAAGTTCTTAACGAACTTTCTAGTTTATTCATTCATTAATTTGTTTAGTTGCACAAAAAGTATACCAGACAAGGTTCAACCTTAAAATTAAATAATTCAAGAACATAAATTCAAAAGGTCACATATTCAATTTGAAATTTAATTTACTTCATTATAGCGGAAAAAGGAATGATAATACTTAATATCGTAACATCTGATCATCCTGTTTTTTTTTTTTTTTGTACAGTATCAATTTGTACAATTAACAAAAATTCTGTTTTGTTGGTCTTGCGACCCCTAACAAATTACCTAAGAGATATTAGACCATCTAAATGGAATGATCTGAGGAAAAATAGCTCAATATTATCACAAAAGTAGGTACTGCCGTAATATAATATATTGGGTTGCTACATGCACAGTATTATAATAAATCTCTTGGACAATCTTTAAAAACATATACACTACTATATAGAACCATTTCAATAAATATAAATGTAGTAAATACCTTATTGTTGTTTTTATTGTTCATTCATTTTCTTTTATTAATCTTTTTTTGCACCTTCATTTTTCTTTTACTTTCATTTTCCGAAAATTCAGAGAGATTTTGAAAGTTGCGAAATTATCAATATGGAATCGGTAATAATTGTAAATTTAATGAGGCACTCACGAACACCCATTGGCTTTTCACTAAGATCGTAAGATAATTTGATCACAAAATCGAGAAAAGAAGTGGCCTAGAAAATATAGGATCGTTTGGCCTACACAATTCATCTATATTTTGACAAGCAGGTGGTAGTCAGGCCAAAGACAATTTTTGTCTCGATTTTTTGATCAAATGATCTCACGATCCAAGTGGAAAACAATTGAATTGAAGCAATTTTTAGTAGGTCATTAAATTGATAAAGTTTACAAATCTCCAGATTGAAAACACCTCATTTCCCTAGTAAAGTTGATAGTAAAGTTGCAATTTATGATAAAATAGAAACATCCACGAATTTTTAGACGAGTGCTAATAATTTGATAAAAAGAGGTCCGAACCTCGAACTACGTAGTATTTCGATTTATAAAATAATAGTAAACATACATTTTCTTATTCGTGTATTTTTGTTATTATTTATTTTATTTTTATTTACTTTTGATTTCTAGTTATTCCTTCCTTTTTTATACTTTTTATTATAATTATCCTTTTTTTAATCTTATTTATAATAGGGGATTAATAATTTATTATCATAGATACATTGAAGAAATGTTTCTTGGGATGTCCAGTCAAACAAAGAACAAATTAAAAACTTTTTACTTTGTTCTTTGTTTGACTGACCCGCCCAAACAACTGACTGTTTTTCGACTCTTTATAATATCAATAAATTCTGATGTATCTAACAAAAAATATGCACAAATATTTAAAATTATATAAAATAGTAACAATAAAAAATAAATAGAAAACAACACACATTAACATGGCACTTACAACTAATACTGAATAAAATTAACATATACACATTTATAGTCAGTTCATTGCAAAAATACTCTTAAGTATGCTTTTGATGTTTATATATTTTTGATAAAAACTGAATTTTTAAGTAAATTTCAGTATATTTCAAAGCTATTTATTGATAGAAAAGAACTGCAGTAAGTGCATAAAAATGACAAAAAACATTTTATATATCTATGCTACATGTGAAAAGTGTGTTAAGAGTAACTATGTGAATTTTTATGTTTATCACCCTTCAACTGTATTAAAACTTGCTCGTTTAATAAGGTTTAATTTAATTTTAATTAATTTGTAGTTTATTGAGAATAATTTTCAGATTCGCCTCAAGTTGTTGAAAGAAATGATATGATATTCTATTCAGTCACCTAATTTACTAATGTTCAATTCAAATGGAGTGATGTTCAATTCCTATAATCGAATATTTTTTAAGTTATCGCTTCATATTTAACAAAATGGGCGACTTGTTTAAACACAAAACACAAATGTTAAATTTCCAACTTTTTTGCAGGAAATTAAGAAATTGTTTATATGAACATTTTGTAGATCTTGATTTTGTAAATCTATCAACAGTTTAAACATTTCCATCTACTTACGGGAACCCTGTATACATGTCCTTCCATTTTATAATAAAAATAAAATAACTCCTACAAAGTAAATAAATAAATAGCATTTTTTTCTTAGTCCAACAAGGACTTCGAGTGGTCGATCATTTCCTCAACACTGAAAAACATGCAATATAGCTCGGGTGAATTTTTGGACATGGCTTAAGCTTTTGACTGGGTAAGGCACCTCGGGCTTCTTCCCAACCTGAAAACCCATCAACCCCAGTCCTTGTACCTATTCCTCCGCTCCTACCTCTCTGATCGCACCTTTCGAGTTTGCTGTGGTACAGAATTTTCGAATTCCTACCCAGTTGAAGCCGGTGTTCCTCGAGGTGGCGTCTTTAGTCCCGTCCTTTATATCATTTTTTACCGCTGATATCCCTGCCAATCCCGATACCTACCTCGCAACATTTGCTATTGACACCGGCATCCTATTATCCAACTCAGATTCCGAAATAGCATATTTAAATCTGTAAGAACACCTATCCCTGATTTAGCTGTGATGTATTAAATGGCGTATCAAAGGTAAATGATCATCCAGCTTCCTTTTTCAGACAGCTCGGTATCTCTCTCTTAAACCGAAGTCTAACGTGGAACCCACATACTAGACTTAAAAGACAAGAACTTAACAGACGATAAGGCCAATTATACAGACTAGCGACTAGAAAATCTTAACTTTCTATTGACAACAAATTATTGATCAACAAGATAATCCTGAAATCTATTTGAACCTACAGACATAGGCTTTGGGGAACAGAAAAATTCTCTAACATTTAAAGCATCCAATCCTTCAGTCCAAAGTCCTCCGAACAATGGTCGATGCTCCGTTCTATGTAACCAACAAAACCCTACATCATGACCATAATATTCGATTTGTCCTAAATCTTATCCCTGAAAAGTTTTCCAAATTTTATCAGAACCTTATAATCATAAAAATATCCTTGCACAATACTTATCTAGTTCCACTCATCCCTACAATCCTCCTCAAAGGATACAATCCCTACAATCCCTACAATCTCAATCTTTTGTATTATATATATTGGAGTTCTGGCAATGGCCAGATTCTTGACTGAAGACATGAGTATAAGTGTCTAAAGTTATTATTTTACTTTTGTTAATTTTATGTTATCTGTATATATGGTGTGAATGTGTTCATATCTCACTATAATTATTGTCCACGTGACAGATTATTATATTTCTAAATAAAAAAATAAAGAAAGAATAAGTGGGTATGTTTGATCTCATTGATAATTAATATATCCAACTATTCAATAATAGTTTTATTTTATTTTTTAGCGGACGGGACATGGCAGTCATGCTGAAACTATTTCCGCTTCTGAATCTTCACTTTCAAGCGTTGATATCCAAAATAAAAAACGATCGCATAGTTTGCTCAGGAGGTTTATAAGGAGATTCAGTGATACCGACAGAAAATCTTCGACTGTCGGGAAGTTTATCAACCAAAAGTTGGATCAGGTGGTAGAGCGACCTTCGCAGGAATCTGTCCACGGAATGCCTTCCCAAGAGCAAATCCCTACTTCGGAAGGTAGAGTGAAGAAGGCGTGGGAGAAAACAAAGAAGTTTTGTTTGTTGGGGTTAGCAGCAAATGAGTCGGAAAATACGGATAGGCCAACTCATCCAAAGGATAACATATCCAAAGCGGATTCGGAGAGTGAAGTAAAAAACGAAGGATAACTTCGATTTAATTTCATTGTATAGCCAATAGGAGGAAATATAAATTTAAGAGGAAATGTGAAACGGCACAGAAAAGTCCTATGTAATAAATATTATATAATATACATGAAACCACTTTTAATACACTTTATTTAGAGACAATTAATATAGTAAAATAAGGGATTTAACCTAACTTGTCGCAAATCGCTTTTTACCTTCTCCTTGATTACTGGAATCCAGATTGGACAGCATTTCAAACAAAGTATTTTAAACTACAAAATACCTTAAAACATGACCTTAATATCCCATTTGTCCTAGACCTTATCCCAGCAAAATTCTCAAAATTTCACCAGAACCTTACCTATCATCCGAATCCCTTTGCCAAGAAGGTTAAAACGGCAATGGCCCCGCGATCTTTTATAGTTTGTAAATATTGGAGTTCTGGCAGTGGACAGATTCTCCAGTCACGATGTGGGTGGCTAAAGCAATCTCGCTAAATCTCCACTGGGTTTTGCCCCAGTGACGGGGTTGAGAGAGAAGTGCATGGGTCTCCTGGAGTCATGCTTTTCTCTCCACATTTGGAGGGACAAGTTTGGCTCGGAGTTCTCTAGCCTGATTGTAAATAGTGTATATAGGTATGTAAGTGTTCTTTTTTATTTAATTATTTTTTAGGTTATTTTATACTTATTTATTGTATATATATTATTATCATTGTACTTACAGTGTGAATGTGATCTCTGAACACCATTATAAATGTCCTTTGAGACAGATAGTAATATTTTCAATAAACAAAAAAAAATAATAAAATAGGTACATAATTGTATTTTAAAAAGTGAAATATAAAATACATTGAAATGTATTTGTATTTTCTTTTGTATTTTAAATGCATAAAATACATTATCAAATTGAGAAGGATGTAGGATTTTTTCATTGGAACGATGAAAGAGTATGGAATGTGTTCAAATGGTATATTGTTGGGGGAAACAAATGTATTATTATTTATATGATTTTAAAGAATTTCTGCCTAAAGAACAAGGAAGAAATGCTTGAATTTATATGAAGAAATATATTATTTTTTTATAACAATGAAGTTCAAAATTACAGTGAAATACTCAATAGATTAAAAAAAGTTCGTCAATAAAGTGCTAAATTAAAAATTTGAGATAAAGTTACTTAATGAAAAGTACATTTAACCAAAAAAAATATTCAAAATTATTGTTATAAATTAAAATTCATATTTTATTCTAACGAAACGATCTGCTACCTCATCGCGGCCTGTTGAACGAATATTTTCGTTCTATAATTTGATCGATGTAATATGAAATATAAATTATAGATAATAGCTCATTTCTCTCGCTTACAATATACAGGTCCGATCTTTAGTTTCATAGATATTTTAATCAATATCTTCAATAAATCTCGTTATCATTATTTACATTATTTTTTCCTTTTCGCCTCTCTTACACGGCGTCGCGTTAAGATACAATTTTGAATTATAGCCTATTATAGAGAGGATACGCTGAACAATTTCCTCGCTTGCAGTATGCAGGCCCGGATTTTAGTTTATAAGAAATTTTACTCCATATGTAAAAACATTTTAATTACTCTACTGTTGTCGACTTTACTCGAGCGTTAATACCAAGTTAAATCTGACGGATTAATCTAATTCATTCTCCACAAAAAAGTGTGAAACGCGCCAAAAGAAGTTTCAACTTTTAAAAATTTTAATTTATTAAAAAGTTATAATTTTATAGGAAGCAGTATTAAAGTTCAACTAGGTATTTTAGAAGCAAGTATTTTGTATTTGTATTTTACGTCCTGATATCCTAGATATATTTATTACCTTCCCGATTTCCTTTTCCCTGACCACAATAAAATCCCTGGATGACCTTTCATCAGATCATAGTCCAGTTCTGCTATTATTACATTCAAATCTCGTTCCTAAATCCTAACATCCGAAATTGATTACAGGACGAGTAGACTGAGACATGTTTCGTGACAATTTTTAAAATAAACTGGACTTAAAAGTTACACTTTAGACAGAACAAGACATTGACAATGTCATTGACAAAACTCACTACATCAATAGCTATTTGTATAAATTATAACACATCCATCAATAAAAATAATAATTCACGACATATTAACTTGCCATCATATATTCGAATCTTACTAAGGGAAATACGTAGGGCAAGATCGAAATGACATAGAGCTAGATATCGTTCAGATAAAGCTTACTATACCGAATTGACAAACAAACTGAAAATAGAAATTAGAAAACTCAAAAATTACTTAACCTAACTGAAAATCTTACAACTACTGACAAATCTAAATGGACTACCACAAAAAAGCTTCTGAAGTTTAACGACTTTAATTATTAACTGAATCCTAAAACTGGTCCAAAACCGATGAAAAAAAAATCTTAACTATTCGGTCAACATCATTTCCAAACCCTTAATCCACATCCTGATATTCTTAATCCAAATCAAATTGGGTGTATTAATGAACTGGATGTTCCTTTCCAAATGACTCATCCACCTAAAGCATTTCATCCTTCGAAAATATCCAATATCATCAACAGATTATCTTCCCGCAAAACTTCTAGACTTCATCACTTCCCAGATTCTAAAACTTCTTCCTTGGAAAGCCATCCTATTTCTTACAAATATATAAATAAAATGCTGTGCTCCGATCCACATATTTTCCTGATCCTTGGAATTTATCGTCAAAATGTTACCTAAACCTAAAAAACACCCAAACACCCATCCTATTTCTCTATTACCTAGCATGGGCAAAATCCTGGAAAAACTCATCCTGTATCCAATTCTGGACTCTAATCACATTATCCCTAATCACCAATTTGGATTCCTCACATCACATTCCACTATCCAACAATGTCATCGTTTGGTTGACGTAGTTTCCTCTGCATTGGAGCGTGGAATATACTGCACAAGAGTCTTTCTCGACGTTGAACAGGCGTTTGATAGAGTCTGACCCGCGGGACTTCCGTACAAACTCCATAAATCCCTACCCCTACATATTTCCTCATTATCCGTTCATACCTTGTTGTTAGATACTTCAAAGTAAATCAAAATAATGTCTTCATCTTTCTTTGGTCAATCTGCAGGCGTTCCACAAGTAGTATTCTTGGACCCATCCTCTACAGAGTTTACACAGCTGACATCCCAACCCATCCTGACACTGTCATCACCAAGTACGGCGATGACACATGTTTGCTATCTGTTAATAATGACACTTTAATCCCATCCCACATGCTTCAATCTTATATCACAAGCTTTGAAGAATGGTGTAAAAATTGAAGAATAAAAATAATTTCAAGAAATCTCATCAAATCACTTGTACCCTTCGTCGTATACCTATGACTTCCTGTCCTACAGCATCTTTCAATAATACTCCACTTATTCCTGTTGATCAAATCGGCTACTCAGGACTCCACTTGGATAAAAGTCTTACTAGGAATCCTCATACTAAACTGAAACGACAAGAAACTGCTTAGCGTTTCCGACTGCTCCAACACTTACTAGACAAACGCTCTAAACTTTCAATTAATTACAAAAGACTCATCTAAATAACTATAATAAGATCTATATGGACGTTTGGAGTTGAGCTTTGGGGCTCCACCAGACCATCGAATTTCTATCATATCCAATCCTTCTGGTCCATAATCCTTAATGCCCCATACTTTGTCACAAATAAAACCATTCATAAAGACCTTAATGTACCATATGCTGCTGATTTAGTCCGAACCATGTATCTATCCTTTCATGATAAACTCCAGTCCTATCCGAATCCACTTGTTTCCAGCCTTGCTACTTCCTCGATTTCTGATAATCCTCCTAGGCGTTTGAAAAGAAGATGAACTCCTGATCATCTTACCTAGAATTATTTTGGGAGTGCTACGACTAGGATTAATAGGATTAGTACGAGGGAGGACTAGTATCTCTTCAAGCCTGTTCATGTCATTATTTCTAATTTATGCATATAGGTTGTATTTATATACGGTTGTAAATTTTATTAAATACAAAAAGTATTTTATTTTAATTACAAAATATGAAAAGTATTCTATATTCAAAATATAATGTATTTTAAAATAATAATTAAAATACTTTTTGTCCTGCTAAAATCTACGAAATAAATGATTAAAAAGGCATTCCAGCATTTTAGTTTAATACTGATTGAATAAAAAATCATTTTCATAAATTTATTGTTTTATCAGCCCATTTTTAACATGAAAAAATAATTTATGTATTGGTTCGATACATTTGATACATCACATATCTGAATGCATTGGATGGACCGCTCAGTATAAAAATAGACAAAGTAGCGGACGTAGTAGTGGCATACTTGAATGAGAGTTTTAATCAATGGGACCTAACTGCATTGAATGCAACAGGTCGCTTTGTACGTTAGTCCTTGTGCACTCTGCCTAGTAACAGGTTGTCTGCCAAGGGTTTGAAGGCTTGTAAGTCTTCATTCATCAATCAAATCATATCAATATTGATCAAATCAATTTCGTAAAATTATACTCCTTACTATGGGATCTCTAGACCACAGAAAGATATTTCACAAGCGATGTATATGGGTGGTGGCGAAGAAGAATTTCCCATCCCTCAATGTAATAATAATGAGGAACAACATCTATGTACTATTCATTTTACCTTCGAAAACGATAAATGAACTGTAAGTAAAATAATAATAATATTGGTAAAAATATTATATGGTATAAATGGAGTCAAACCTACTAACTGTGTTATTAGCTTCAAATTGTAATTCTCTTACGTTTTTATGAAAATAATTTAGGATGTTTGGTGGGTTTCGATTTTTAAAAATATGTCAAGTGACAAAATTATTCCACAAGAAGTTAATACTTATTTGTCGTAATAAATTATTATAATATTAAAATATAGTATTTATTAAAATTATCAATATGTTACCTTATAGCACTATAAGCTAAAAAGAGATATTTGTAAATAGAGAGTTGTGTAAGAAAACTATAAATTTGTATACCTATATCAAGTA